TCGTCCCGCGCAAGCTACGCTCCAGTGCGCGTACCGCTGCCGTCTCTCGGGCTTGCCTCTTGCGTGCATGGTAGGCCCGACTGGCGGCGTTCTTGAGCTGCCTAGCCACTTCCGCATCATTCCTGTCCCCTTCAAGTGATTCCTTGTCCTCAAGGATGAAATTCGGGAATTGATCATGCATTTCGTCAAGATCCTCCCACGTGGCTTCTTCAGATGGCAACTCTTCCCAGTCAACTAGTACTTCCCAACGATAGCGCCCTGCTCTCTTTACCTTACGATACTCAATCGCTCGTTTTGGGCGCACTATAGCCCCGTCATCGGTTGCGGTGGCTGGTAACTCTTCACAATACTTCTGCGCTTCTCCTAAGATCCTCTTGAGTTGCGAAACATGGATAACTGGGTGAATTTGTGAACTTTCCGGCAACTCTAGGCGATACGCTACCTGACCAATGCACTTCAGAATCTGATAAGGTCCGTAATAGCGAACGCCTAGCTTAGTTGCGGCTCTTTGTGCTGTTGTGCGCTGTCTGAATGGTCGTAGCTTCAGGTAGACATATTCGTCTAGTGCAAAACTTTCCTCACGCCTTTTCCCATCTGCGAAGGCTTTGTTTCGATTGATTGAGACTTCGAGATTTTTCTTTAATTCTCGCAACATTAGATCTCGTTCCTCTAACTCTCGACAAACTTCGTCGTTGACTGTACTCCCCTCCGAATAATTGATCAGTGTTGGGGGTTTTCGCCCGTATACCAACTCAAACGGCGTCATCTTGGTCGACTCGTGGTAAGTGGTGTTGTACCAATACTCAGCCCAAGGGAAAAAGTTTTCCCATCGCTTCGGGAATTGATGGACGTAGCACCTCAAATACTGCTCAAGGGTCCGGTTGGTCACCTCAGTTTGTCCGTCTGTCTGTGGGTGGTAGGCTGAGCTCATAGATAACTTAGTCCTTGCAACTTGAAGAATTCAGACCAAAAGCTGCTCATAAAAATCTGGTCTCGATCAGAGACGATGGATCGTGGTGCTCCATGTAGTTTCATTACATACTCCACAAATAGCCTAGCAATTGACTTTGCGGTGTAAGGATGGGTAATGGGTATGAAGTGAGCATACTTCGTGAGACGATCCACTACAACCATAACACCGTCGAACCCATTAGAACTCGGTAACCCCTCTATGAAATCCATAGTGATGTCTTCCCAGATTGCCTCGGGTACTGGTAGAGGTTGTAACAGCCCGCTCGGTCGTCGTGAGCCAGACTTAGTGCGCTGACAATCGTCACACCGTGCTATGTAATCTCGAACGATATTCTGTTGTCCGGGCCAGAAGAAAGTGTTGGCTATTCTCATCCATGTGCGGTAAATACCCGAATGACCTCCAATTTTAGAGTCATGGAAGTGCTGCATGATCTGCTCGCGTAACTGCCCATTGTCGGGAACGTAGACTTGACCTCGGTGTAGAAGTAGATCATTATGCAACTCGTAATCGATAGCAGTTGTCTTACCTGCTTCTATTGATTGGCGCAGCTCCTGGCAATAGGTGTCCTCTACTTGCGCCTTCCTGATCTCTTCC